AAAGTAAACAACCCTACTCCTCTGCTTGTCCCTTGTATAAATCTTCATTAAGTTAAGATTTAATCTTCACTAATTTATTAATCTGTACTTTCATTTAGTTACGGTTAATTAATTAATTAAACAACGTTATAGTACTGGACATTATTGCATTTAAACATTTTCAAGAGCAGTGAGATAAAAAAAATATCCTACTTATTTTACATTGGAGGAAAATACAATGAGCAAATTGCTTATAGCTTCTTCTAGACTAACTTTTTCGAGTGACTGCGACTGTTGATTCCGAGTCCCTAATCCTGGTTATCCGCTCCTTCATCAAAGATAAATGCAGTAGGGGTTGATTGATAGTAATATTTAGTATTAATTGGGAATGAGATTCGTGAAAAACGATAAGTTGGTGTGAAGCAAATGTAATCATGAGAACTGTTCAAAGGTCTATATATATTTTCAAACGCGGGGATGACCAACGCCTGCTATAACTGAAAGCCTCCTCACGGTTTTTTATAGGTAGTCCGATTAGACCACTATGCAAGTAAACAAGTGAACGAACGAAGCATTTAATACAGAACCTCGTAAAAATAAGATAGTGGTATCATATATATGTCCAAAATTTGTTTAATTTTTTTAATGTGATTGGTTTGTCTTATTTACTTGTCAACCACTACAGATTCAATTATCAAATATAAATGATAAATTTCACTCAATTTTACCAGATTACACTAGTCCTCTAGTCGATCTATAAGCCACCAATTACCCAATCACCTCCTTATGCCTAACGCCAAAAGTCTTAGTCGCCCTAGGGCAAATTAAATAGATGACGAAGTCAGATGCCCTTCGCAAAACAACATATCAAGTCAGTCAAGTCAAGTACTTTTAAAATAGAATTTGGATTCATGCGCACAACTGGTTCACTTTTTCAATAGTCTGCGCAGATTACTTATAAAAAACCGTGTGGAGGCTCTCTGGTGTAGGAGATAATGGGATGCTGCGGACGACTAAAATGGAAAAAAGTGGTAGAAACTCAACTCCTTTTTATTAATTCAAGCTGCTTAGTTATTTAATCGTGACAACCACCATGACTTACATTGTAAACTACCCATATTTAAAGCGAAATTATTCTTTGCATTCACTTTCAAAAGTAAACTGAAAGAAATATGATGGGAAACGTTACTAATTTTAATAGAGTTTTGCTTTTTATTAGTCACCATTTCTAACATTTTTAGTCGCGGGTGGAATTCCCAGAAACAAACATCTCTCTTAGTGGTTCTACTAATTCCCACTTCGTTTTATAAACTAGTTCCTATTTCCCAATATCGGATTCGTTAAAGAAATTATATCTTAAAAATATGTTTGATCAAATATCCTTGACAATCATCGAATTCTGATAAAGGTCAAATGAACCACCTGGTTAAAACTTACTGATCACTTAAGGGCAACATGTGAATACAAATAATTTACAGCACGCTTCGCGCATGCTTTCTACCACCATAAAAGTGAGTATTACAATTTTTGTTATCTGTGGATTTTGCTATCTCTAATCTATAATGTCTAATCTGGGTGTCAGATTTTTCGTGAACTACTTTACATGGGTTCACAACACAAAGGTTGAGAAGGCTTCAGCTGCTTGATAATCAAAGCTGATAAAATTTCTAATAATCGGGTGAAATACAATATTTGTAATTTCTTTTTCTTTCCTAGATAGAGGTGGCCCCTCTATTTGAAAAACACGCTTTTGTATAACTGTATACTAGGTCTCCACGGGCGACTTAAAATGCAAAAAGTGCTAACTAATAAAATTCAACACTATATTAAAAGAAATTAAAACTATCAACTTTTTATAGCATATTAATTTCAGTTTACTCTTGAAAATTTCTGCTAGCATAGCTGGCAACTTTAAGGCATTATGAGCAAAATTTAATTTTTGTGTTTAACGTGGTATTAAAATGCATGCTTTTTTATTATTTATAAATTTAATTTAAACTATTTTGACAACATTAAAATAAATTCAAAAAGCTATATAAATGTATGACAGTCTCAATCATTAATTTCTTCTTAATATTGTAAATCAATTTTCTACCTTTAGGCGAAAATCATCCTTGATTAAAACCAAAGTTGGGAACTACTGCAGTATAAATAATTTTGTTTTAAATATCAATAATTTGAAATGTAATTCTTAGTGGTAGTTACGATTGCATAATTAAAAAGATAGTGAATAAAAAAAAGGGAATCGAGTTTCTAGCACTTTTTCATACCTGCCAACTTTCACTCTTTCCGAGGATGGATTTTCAGAGTGGTTGTAAAACAATGAACGAAAAACAATCTGACTCAAAAATATATCAGGGTTCCCGCGGTCCTTGAAAAATTTAAAAAGTGGTAGTAAATTTAGGGTGGAGCTACAATATACTTTTTTATTTTAATATACTTTTTTATCGTANGTTGAAATTCGCTTGCGCAAGGATTATTATGCTTTGATATACTTATTGTAATTATTTATATGTAGTGGTGGTCAAACTCATTTATAATTATCATTATAATTCAGAAAGTTAATTGGAATAACCTGAGTATTGTTACCACTTTAGATATGAAAATAAAATCTTCGGGAAAATCCGGAAGAATTGTCAAATATACTTTTTACATTTTTAGTCGCCTGTGGCATCCATGTGTACAATTACACCTAATTATTAATTTTTAAATATGAAATGCTGTAAACAAACCCTCTAACTACAAAGGGATTTTCGTGATTTGAGAAAATATTTTTCTTTTGTGGTAGGAAATAATGTAAATATTTAATAAATTAGAATTTAAAAAAATTATACACATAAATTATTTAAATCAAACTTATAAAACTCAAATAGACATATTATTCTAACATACCTGTCAACTTTTACGCATTTTGCGTAATATTTTATTTTTACATTTATAGTGGTAGCAAGATGTATGTTTGCTATTTATGTTTTGCATTTATTAATTTAATTCAAAACTTGACCACCATTATATTTAAATAAATTCTACATATATATATATAAATGTATAATATTATTGGTGGGTTAAAGTTTACGCCAAATGCAACGTATATGTTCGTCTATAAATGTAATTTACTTTTAATCTATCCACCACTGGGGTAATTCATCTTCGGAGACATTACAAGTTGGCAGGTATGTTTATAAGAGTTCTGTTAAGCGTCTTATAGAATATTTGTTTGAAAATTTTTTGCTCTACTTCACTACCACTGAAAAATATGTATTTTAGAATTAGCTTTAACCCTTTCGCGCCGACTGTCACAAATACGTGCCAGCATGAAACCATATCAATCAGGATAAAAAGATAAAACTGGTAATCAAAGTATTTCTTTAGCAGTTTATTTGTGGGCGGAGTTATAATTGTTTGATTTATTTAATTCACCATTACTTTGTTCAAAATAAAACTATTTAGTTATACTTTGAACTAACATTGATTATATATATGATTACACTAACAATAATTAAAGTAAAAGCAAAGTAAGTCTGTCAGATTAGCAACGACTAGATTTAAGTTACCGTTTTTTATTTAATTACAACTTCATTCTGATTTTGTACGAATGCTTTTCTGAATCACCCGTCCCCAAGGGGTTAATGTTGGAAGGTATGGTTGTAATCTGTTATTAATCGAACACTAAAATTGTAAAAAGTTCATTTGCGAAAAACGTGGTAGAACATACTTTAAAAATACAGGGTTATTCATAATTCCCTCCGGGGTTTCGAAGCGTTATAGTAAAAAAACGAAGACGAATACGGCAAAAATGAACATATGAAATTATTCCGAAAGTATTCAAGTTTTAATTTAAGCAGTTACCGGTAGATGGCAGTAACATGTACCACTGAAGCCAGTTGTAGTAAAGAAAAATGGCGTTTACAGGCGGAGGGAATTATGAATAACCCTGTATATTATAAAATTGTTTGAGAATTTAACTATTCATAAAATTGCATAAATCTATTGTCTCTTTAGAAGGATGCTGGGCACAAATGGATTAATCAGATATAGAACGTCTATCAGAAAGAAAGATTGTTTAATCTGAACACATGAACTGAATGTGTACAGGATGGTCACAAACACTCAGGAAAAAGATATCCCTTTTTTTCCAGATTGATTCTAATTTTTCTGGTTTTTGAAACTAAACTAACTGCCTAAAATAACTAGGATAATTTTTATCGCACTGTCACCGAAAAGGTTAACCCTTTACTTACAGACAATATTATTCTATTTTTTAAAGCATGTTGCCACAAAAAAATGGTAGTTTATTCGCCTTTGAAAGAAAAAATAATAAATTATTTATCTTAGACGACATTAATTTTATAAAAGTCACGTCCTATCCAAATGCAAGGATTCTTGGGTTAAACTTTAGGGGAGGTAGGGGACACCACAAAAATTCAGATTTGCATAACAGCCCATGGTCAGAACCGTATTCGTCTAGGTCATGGTCTAGGTGGTGGTGTTCACAAGATGGGTGGACCACTTCTCTAGCCACCACGCTCTCCTGATTTAAACAGCATGGATTCCTTTCCTTGGGAGGGCACTGAAAAGTGCTATGGACGCAACAGTGAATTCCGAAATAAATCTGTTAGCAAGAATCGTCTGTGCTGCTGCGGATATCCAACAAAATTCAGAAGTGTTAGAGCGAGTCCGCCAATCCACGAAAGCTTTGAACATCTTCGGTCATTGGTCAAAGATATTACATGCCACAGCACGCGTAATATCTTTGACCAATAAATATTTCAAATGGTCTCAGTGTCGCTCCCTTGTCTTCTGGATTGGGTTCAAAATTACAAGGCTACGGAGTTGATCATTAGTAGTCGAAAACTCAAAGTTGTGTCGACTGTTCAACGACGGTTATAAAAAATTCTAAAGTAAATGTATTACGACACTTTCTATAATGTATAGAGGAATATCAAGTTTAATTGATGAAAATGGACATAGATATCAAAGTGGATTTTGTGTTAAAAAAAATAAGACAACATACAAACAAATTTGATGCAGTAATTTAATTCATTGTTATAAATAAAATTTAAGCTAAGCATCTATAATAATGATACACATAACTTAAAACAAAAAGTGCTTATAAAGTTAAGAGTTGTGACAAACAAGAACAAATTCAAGATCGATAAATAAATTTTTTAAAAAAAAAGCTACATATGTAGAATGTATTCTCTATGAGAAAGCAATTGCTATTGCATTTAGAACAAACTCTTCTGAGATTTTTAAGTACGATTTTCGACACAATAAAATGAAAAAAGGAAAAAGAGAAGCAAAAATCAAAAATTTGCAATGTAAAAATTGCGAAATTTGAGATTAAAAATTTTTAAAGAAAATTTAACAATTTAAAATGTGTTGTTTTTGATGAGTAAAACACTTTTACTGTTAAAAAAGAAAGAAATAAAAATTTAGTATGAAATTGAAACTAAAATTTACAATTAAAATTTTGAAAGAAAAAATTACAGCAGTCATAGATATTTATTTATAAAGATAACATATTTTTGACACTTAAGCTAGGTTGTTCAGGTTTGTGTTTGTCAATACGTTTAAATTTTACATATAGTGTGTTTTCGTTAATTAGAGAAACTTGTACACGGTTATTTAAATATACTAAGTGTAGGATTAGTTACACTGTGAAATTTAGCCTGGAGTTTCTGTCATTATTATACACAGTTATCCAAATAAACTAAGGGTAGGATTAGTTACACTGTGAAATTTAGCCTGGAGTTTCTGTCATTATTATACACTGTTATCTAAATAAACTAAGTGTAGGTTTAAGTTACACTGTGAAATTTAGCCTGGAGTTTCAATCATTATTATACACGGTTATTTAAATAAACTAAGTGTAGGATTAAGTTACACTGTGAAATTTAGCCAGGAGTTTCAATCATTATTATGCACTGTTATTTAAATAAACTAAGTGTAGGATTAAGTAACAATGTGAAATTTAGCTTGGAGTTTCTGTCCTTATCTTAGAAAACTTCTAAAATAATATTCTCCTAAATGGAAATTTCAAAACAGCGACAATTGCACTATAAACTAGATTTCAGACTGGCCATTGTGGGAATTACTTAAAAACAAAAATAATTTTTGTGGAAAGCCTTAAATATCGTATCATATTATGATTTAAAAATTTCCATAATTTAAGAGGGTAAAGAAAGTAGTAAGGTATTTCTTTTAGGAATAAATAAACAAGATTAAAAAAAAGAGAAAACACATTTTTTTAAATCTTAGTATGCATAAGCGTAAGTTCATTAAAAAGCGTCTGAAATTGTTTAAAAGTTTCATATGTAGATATTTCGTAAAAAAGTTAACACGAAAACTAAATTTTAAAATACGTGAAAAACTGGCACTGACATTTGATTTTGATCATCTATAATTATTTAAATTATAAAATATATTTTCAACGATGAAAAAAAAATAAAAAATAAAGGGAGAAAGGGGAAAGGACATCAAAATAAAAAAGAAAGAGAGATAGCGTAGATATAATAAAACAATAAGTTGTAACGTAATAACATAAGAACTAAAAAGGGAGCATAAAACACGTTTTATAAACCTTTTTAAGTAATTTACGTTAACTTTAAAAAGCTCACAAAAGCTTCAAAAAAATACCATTACTATCTCAAAAATATCACAGATATTTGAGATATCATCATAAAACGGTTCTAATCTCTTTTAGGAATCAAATCACATTTCTGTAAGAACTCATCCAATTCCCGAACATACTCGTTTTCGTACTTAAAAAAATGACCGACATGTTTAGAGTCCTTAAAAGACTTGAGCTTGCAATCGACTCCCTTGTTGGCCCAGGTTTCGACGACCATTTTATTGGACTTCAGAGTACCGATCTTATCAGCTTCAGAGACGAAGCACAAAGCTGGACAACTTAGTGGAGTGTTGTGAAAATTCTTGGACGATTTAATGTAATGTTTGGTGGCGACGTTATACATCAAAGCCAAATGAGCATTAATATACCACTCCAGAACTTTACAAGTTAGGGGGTTACGAGAAACAGCCCTGGCTATACCATCAGAAGTACCCTCAAAATCTACAGCACTATCGAGAACGACTCCACTGATCTTTTTGGTCACTTCCAAGTATTTCTCAGCGTTATCCCTCATTTTACCGAACATTTCCCCCATTAAATATCCACCAACTGAGAAAGCATGTACAAGGATCTTATCATACTGATCGCTGTCCGCTATGTAATCCAACAATTTGGTGGTATTAACTTGAGTGCCGGTTGTTGGAAACAAAAAATCTTTCGGTAGAGTTTCCATAGTCAGAACATCAAAGCCCCTTGAAATGTAGACATTGCGAAGCTTGTCGACGTGTCGGTCTTGAGCAAGGATCCAGGTAAAAATGACCACTAGCTTCTTCTTCTTTTGACCTTCACTTAGATCGACGGTTTTCAACTTGATGTTGTTGGTTATGCTTTGGGTGTGCATTTTCCGGACAGCTGGATGCTTGGACAAAACCGGGGCTATAACCTAAAAAAATTGGAAGATGAATAGGAGATTAATATTCTAAAAAGATAATAGGAACTTTTAAAAGAGTATTTGAACGGTGTTTTTAATTTGGATGACAAATCCAACGTAACTAAAAATGAGTAATCTCAAGAAACTGAAGCGGTTATAGTGCGGCTTTGAGGAGAGCTCCTCCGGAAAAGTCTGGAGCTGTCTGCTGCTATGGTAATGAGCACATTTCTAATGAAGGTGAAATGGAGGAAAGATGGTGTCGATTGGTTTACTCACGACGACCTACGCTAAGATTAAGACAAAGCTATTCACCCAACACCCCTATTCGAAGTTACCATTCCTCGTTGCCATAGTAACCGCCACGACACGAGACGGTTGTCTGGAGGAGTTCTCCAGAAAGCTACACTATAGATATTACTTGATTAAAAAAACTTCATTTGCATAAAAAATAAACAGACAGGAAATAACAGGTCCCGCAGTGGACTGATCGTTAAGACACGGTTCCCAGCAGATCACTGAAGTTAAGCATCACTGGCTACTGTCAGTGTGCGGGTGGGTGACCACTTGGATCAGTCTGCGTAGGGACCGAGGGTGTGCGGTAGTGGTTCTCGTTGAACTGTGCTTCCGTAAAGTGCTCGACTTCGCGCGCAGGTCGTCGGGCTACCGAAGCGGGGGTGCCATCCCCTCCGCAGAGGATCAAAATTGTGATGGCATGTCTTCGGATCATCCTCCGGGATGTTTCCCAGACCGTCGCCAATAGCCCATTGTGCAGCCCTAGTGCGACGTAAATTAACAACAACAACAAGGAAATAACAGACGACGTAATTCAAGCGCTCATAAATAGGCTCCCCTTTTCAAGACTTGCTAGATGGAAATGCGAAGAAACAAAAGTGATATCAAGTGTAAAACGTAAAGTTGTTAACGAAAAATGGAAAATAAAGCTGAGAAACAAAACTAGGAAAAACTCAGTAGCCGGGAAAGAATAAAAAGAAAAAAAAACAGAGCAAGAAAAACCACTGTGGCAGAAGGGTAAATCAGGGTCTCATTCACGCCTGACAAGTCTTGAAATTGGATGCCAATTCTTGAGCGTTTGCAAAATTTAGAATGTTATTTCCAATCTATTTATTTTTCAAGAGAATAAAATTTTGTAATCAAGTAAGTATATTATGAATTAAAATTATAAACAAAAAATAAGTTGTTTACAATAATAACCGAACGATGCTTGGACTTATAGATGGTTGACCATATGTATATCGATAAATGATTTCCTATTATTTATTCGAACTATTGATAGATATAGGACGGATAAGAGTAACAAAGAACGTTTGAATTTACGAGTGTCTAACTCAGTTGAAACTATAATAAATTTCTGGATAACCAAATGTCATCATTCCAACTTTAAGTCCATCCAACTAATGATGTTATGCTTACAAAAGCGAATTGCTAATGAGCTCATTATTCTAAAAATATCATAAATAGATTGAATTAACAGAACTACTGCTACGAAAACACAATATTTTGTAAAGATATAAGCTTCAAGCTTGAACTAATTTGACATTTTCTACTATTGTGGCTATCACTTAAATCTTGAAATATCCCAATAACCTAATTTCAGTTGAAAATAAAAGATTTTACATTATTAATAAAATATGATGATAGCGAAAGTATTTTTCTCTCCGAGATAAATTTCAAGAATGAAATAAATGAGTTATCAGTCTTTACCTCTTTGACATAAGTTTCTGAGAACGTTGACCTTTAATGAATAATGGAAGAAATTACGAACATTTGATAAGTAAAACAAATAGAATTTTATCGATTATTTTGGCGATATTTGCGTAATCATTGAATAATTTATAAATCCATTAATTGTTGGGCAAACTTAACACTTTGCAACAATGTAAAAAAGTGGTATGGAATTTGATGTTAATGATTTCCAGTTTGAGCTACAACAATAGTTTTAAAATTTTAAAATCTATGCAGTTCACATTCTGTGAATAAATAAATACGCCGCTCCTCCAATGACAATTTAACAAAAACACTAACACACAAAATTAAACACTTTGAAAAGTTACAAGCTCACCTAAATACATTAGAAATATAAACATTTATACAGACCTAAAAATTGATTTCTTCCATCATCATTTTTAGATAATTAATAAACAATTCTACAATAAAATGATTCACGGCTAATTTCAATAAATTATATGAAAATGAAAATATTCTTGAAGAAAACACACCATTCTTGTAACTTCATAAAAAAAATTCATTTTTTACTTCCCCACCACCAACTTGTCGATTAAGTTTAAAAGCAGCTCTTCGAAGTGAGAAGTGGTAGTGATGACTTAAATTTAAATCACCATTTAATTACCAATTATTTTTCATTATACTGAAATTCAAGAGACATTTTACTTCATACAAGATTATTATAGTATAGATCTTTTTCCCCCAAGAATAAAGTTTAATTGCATACCTGCCAACTTTTACGCATTTGGCGTAAAATTTTATTTTTACATTTAAAGTGGTAGTAAATATATGCCATTTTTTCTTTTATAAATTTAATTTTTAAATGATTTTGATCACCACTATTTTTAAAAAACTTACGCATATATATTATTATGCGTTACTCTCAACTATTCCAGCTTAAGTTTTTTCAATTACAACGTATTACGTTGCTTAAAGTTGAAATTTTAATTCCGTTTTAACACCGCTGGAAAAAATCATAATTGAAGGAATAAAAAGTTGGCAGGTATGTAATTGGATGCCATTACGTATTCCAACAAATATCTACACTTGAATATGAATAAGTAGAAGTCTCATCCAAGCTAGGTAGTAGCTGCAATGAAGTCTGAGATGGAAATAGTTGACGTGCATTTAAAAAAAAAAATCAGCAAGGTGTTTACTACCGTTGTATCGGATTAGAGGTGTATATTTCTACAGAAGGTACTATGAAACTTATTCATTATCACCTCACACCCGATGTTAAAATAACTTCGATACGAAGATAGAAGTAGACTCTCAAGTTACTCCAGAAAACAGTGTGAGGTCAAGGAACTATTTGAATAAATACGATTTTAAAATATAAATTTTAAAAATGTAGTAATTGGACATCAATGTCCGGGCGCTTTAAGAGATGATTTCATTTTTGCACATAACAACTGAGCGATTAATTAAAATAGCCGGTCGCCGCAACTTGTTTAAAAGCCTTGGCACAGCTGTTATGCTCTTAATTTATACGCTTTTTTGCCGGAGACTTTTTTTTTTCATTGACAGTGAAGTAATAATTAAAAGACAGCAAAATTTCCCCATTTTCCCCACGCATTGGAGGATTGCGAGCTCCAATGGCTTTCCCTAGAGTTTCTCAAAAGCTGTGATGGTTCAATGGTTTAGGCCCTGAACTCTCATTGTGAAGATCTAGGGTTAGATCCCCCCCGTGGCGGCTCGAAGCCCACCCAGCTTCAGATTGATGAGTGCCAGCTTGTCTGTGAAGTAAGGAAATAAAGGCGGCTTATACGCAGTGCTTATCACATTGCCATCATCATGCCGTTGGTCACGAAATGGTGGAGGCTTTATCTCCTTGAATCCCCTGCCCCACAAACGGGCAGTTACAGGAATGGTTTACTTTACAGTTTATAAACGATGCTCCACAAGATCTTTCATGTGCAAACATGTTGGATGATCTTTCATTCCGGTGAATGTTTTCACTTTTCAAAACATTGTTGGAGAGGTGTGTTGTATGTGGCCAACTTTACCCCTGAGAGAACGAACATTAGGCTCCAAGACTTTATCCCCACGTCTCGAATCAGTCATAATACTACTCTCGAAAACATGGTGAGGAGTGTGACAATTCAGCAATTTCAAAATTAAAAACCTCAGAAACAAAGGGTGGTGGATGAATGATACAAGAGATATATTTAATGTAAGTGCTGCAAAAATTTTATACATAAATTTTGGAATTAAGTTATAAACATTACTAACAGATGGTGCTGTAAGCAATCGATGACATGAATGATTAGTTCTAATGATAAAACGTAAAAGGAGGTTGTCATAATGGATTAGAAGGTTTACTGCATTCGCTGAATGGTTCACCACGCAGCGAAATGTGCACATTGCGTGTTAAGATTTCGTATTACATTTACTTTTATAGCTAGAAAATAAGTCATTCCTAAATATAACACACGGAAGTAAGTTATTTTGACTTATAAAACTTATTAAGCGCATTCATAACGTACTTCTAGTGATATTAGCCAATGACAGTTTTAGGCAGACTGGGCGGTTAATAAACCAGCTAATTACGGCGCTCGTATACACAAGGCATCCCGTGGATGCCGGCTAAATACGGAACTAGTTCACATAGGGCTTAGTTACGCTCCGAGCGAAAGGGTTAAACCAGGTATTTTATTAAACAACGCATGTCTCTGATTCTGGAATATCGCAAATTTGCTTAGTCTCGTGGCATTTGTACTTTATTCAATAACTCTGTAAATAATCGAGCGCCCTCTGTTGGTAACATTTGCAACTAAATTCCATACTGTCTGTCTAAAATTTTCACAGCATTTACAATAGATATACCCTATGCTTTCGAAATTTTTAAGTTGGAAATCAGTAAGTCATCCGCTGGGCGTCCTGTATGCGATTACTGTAATAAGTTATGGCAGCTACTGATGTTTTGAGGCTTTCAAAGACATGCTAAAAATGAAATGGTTTTACTACGAGTTTTTCGCATTTCCGGATAGCTCTCCTTGCGGAAGTTTTTCTCGTGACAGTAAGTCAATAATATAAATCCGAATCCATCTCATTACGATATGGAATTCAATTTCCCTCAACGAATTCTTCTTTCTTCATTCCAATCTCTTGAATTGTTAGTAGGAAAATAATTTTATGGTTCAATAATTAATGCATCTGTTAAAAAAAAAATTATAATATTTTTAAAAACCACGATTTTGTAGTTGTTGTTGAATAATAATTAAAAAACAGAAATTTGAGAAGCGAAAAACGCGGGAGGCATGAAATAC